GTGTGACGTCACACAGACAGGCATCTGAGAACGGCTTGATATGAGAAAGGGGAAATGATTTAATGAGATTTAAAAAAAAAAAAAACACTGGGTGGAAAAAAAGAGTGCATGCCGCATCTGATGATCCCTTTAACGTATTTTGTGAGCTATTAACAATCACACATATGCCTAAACGTCTATCCATGCTATGTTAAGACTGTTTTATCAGGTGAGTGCATTGATTTGATTGTGTGTTTAATAGTGCTGGGGGATATAATCAAATATGTATTGATGCATTTTGACTATATTCAGTATATCTCAAATTGTACTGTATGTATATTTGCTTTGAAATTGTTTAAAAAGTGGTTTATTTTAACCAAACAATTGCCAACAGATTGAAAATATTTAACATTGGAACTAAATTTGAAATCAAGGTAAATACATGAATGCAATATTCAATTTACATTATTATAATTATTGTTATATACTACAAAATAATATTGTAAAATATGTGCAAATTAATATTCACAACAAAGTTGCTTGATTTTATATACCACTAACACATCCTTGGGAATATTGTAAGTATCAAATATATATTTATTGCCCAGCTCTGGTTAAGAGTGTATTATTAGAACATGAGGCGTGTCTGAGTGTAACCCATTTTGTTTTCAAGAGCCCTATGTTGTGTAAGAGTTGGCACTCTTTCGTCAAGTGTGTTGGGATTTTCCCAGTGTCCTCTAAACACATCATTGTAAAGTGCACACATCCTGTAGCTTATGGAGACGGAGGAGAAAGAGAGAGAGAGTCAGCCGCACACCACCGCCGCCCCATCACCCGAGACTTCCTCATAAATCTCTTTCCGTCCTGAGAAACCAGAACCTCAAGTGCAATTCCCCACCGCATTCCTCAGCCGTCCCGTTACACACTCATCACTCTTTGACCAAATGAGCGCAAATGAAAATGTATTTGTGATCTCTGACACTCGGCTCACTCGGCTCCGCTGACACAGAGCTGTGCGAAACTCGAAAGGGAAAACAGCGGCTCACTGATCAAAAGAACCAAAAGAACAGATAAAGGTGCGTTTTCAGTACCCAAAGATGAGGGTATTTTTACTGCAGAAAAGTATAGCCGCCTGTGCATCCTGTGTTTATGAGTCAACATTTTTTTCCTGGACTTCCTGTCCTGACCTCTGCTCTGTACCGGGCCCATGTTAGCAGTGTTGAGTGTGGAATGTCATCCACCTGACTGCATGTGCTTTTTCCCTCCCTGCCCGCTGGCCCCACTGACGCCCGGCCTGCCCCCCTGCCCCTCACACTGAGCTGAGGAATCCAGCCCCTGGCTCCAGTTACGCCACACTCCCGAGATGTTGCCGAGGAGAAAGTGGGACTGTAATTTATAGAATCTGGCCAGCTTGATGAGTTGAACTTTGGAAAGCCAGCAGGTAGCAGGAATGTTCTACTGAAAACACTGACACTCTTCCAGAACCTACTGAACTGCCTACTTCAACTCAAAGTATACTTCAGTTTTGATGTGAACTCTTAAAGGGACAGTTCACCCCAAAATTTACATTTTGTCATTAATTACTCACCCTCATGTCATTCCAAACTTTCATTCATATTCAGAACACAAATTAAGATATCTGCTTTCTGACCCTCCATAGACAGCATCAGAACTAACACGTTTAAGGCCCAGAAAGGTAGTAAGGACATCATTAAAATAGTCCTGAAGCTGGATCACGAATGATTCACGCGAACATAGACGCATTTAAGTAGATCGGGGGTGTATTCCCTTCACAAACAAACATAATCCACTGCGTCTTCAGCGGCTCAGATGTCGGGAGTAAATGACGACTGCTATGTTCATTATTACATCCAACAACAAAGAGTGCATGCCGCATCTGATGATCCCTTTAACGTATTTTGTGAGCTATTAACAATCACACATATGCCTAAACGTCTATCCATGCTATGTTAAGACTGTTTTATCAGGTGAGTGCATTGATTTGATTGTGTGTTTAATAGTGCTGGGGGATATAATCAAATATGTATTGATGCATTTTGACTATATTCAGTATATCTCAAATTGTACTGTATGTATATTTGCTTTGAAATTGTTTAAAAAGTGGTTTATTTTAACCAAACAATTGCCAACAGATTGAAAATATTTAACATTGGAACTAAATTTGAAATCAAGGTAAATACATGAATGCAATATTCAATTTACATTATTATAATTATTGTTATATACTACAAAATAATATTGTAAAATATGTGCAAATTAATATTCACAACAAAGTTGCTTGATTTTATATACCACTAACACATCCTTGGGAATATTGTAAGTATCAAATATATATTTATTGCCCAGCTCTGGTTAAGAGTGTATTATTAGAACATGAGGCGTGTCTGAGTGTAACCCATTTTGTTTTCAAGAGCCCTATGTTGTGTAAGAGTTGGCACTCTTTCGTCAAGTTTGTTGGGATTTTCCCAGTGTCCTCTAAACACATCATTGTAAAGTGCACACATCCTGTAGCTTATGGAGACGGAGGAGAAAGAGAGAGAGAGTCAGCCGCACACCACCGCCGCCCCATCACCCGAGACTTCCTCATAAATCTCTTTCCGTCCTGAGAAACCAGAACCTCAAGTGCAATTCCCCACCGCATTCCTCAGCCGTCCCGTTACACACTCATCACTCTTTGACCAAATGAGCGCAAATGAAAATGTATTTGTGATCTCTGACAGGTCTGACACTCGGCTCCGCTGACACAGAGCTGTGCGAAACTCGAAAGGGAAAACAGCGGCTCACTGAAATAGCAGGTCAAAAGAACAGATAAAGGTGCGTTTTCAGTACCCAAAGATGAGGGTATTTTTACTGCAGAAAAGTATAGCCGCCTGTGCATCCTGTGTTTATGAGTCAACATTTTTTTCCTGGACTTCCT